AGGAGCGCGCAGAACGCTACGCGCCGTACGCTCGGGTCTGGTGAGCTGCCTTTACTCGCCGTCCGCAGACCCGCGCTTACGGTGGCCGGAGATCATCTCTCGATCCCTGACGCCTGGAATGTCGCCTACTGCGGCGGCTATGGCGCGAGGAGAATAGTTACGTGCTTAGCCATTACCTGACTTTTGTTTGTCTAAGTTTGAGTCTAAGATCTATGAACACTCATCTTTGAACCAACTAACGTACTAATTATTCTTATTTACTTAAAGACGGTAAAATGCATCCTTCAAAAATAAAAATAGTTTTGACAGAAACTATAGATATTATTTTAAATTTTCTAAAAGCTAAAAGCCAGGCGCATCGTTTGCGGCAAAATCTTTAGGGATTGAAAACCATTGTGTCGTGATTCTCAAGAGAAATGATACAAATAACTGGAAGTGTCACGATACACGTGTGTTTGTGTTCCATTACAGTACGTGTGCGAGTTTGAACGAGTATCACTTGTAGTGCAGTGTTAATGTGTAAATGTGGGTCTGTGTGTGTAGATGTGCCCGGTTTCAGTGTGATTTTAAAGTTCTATGTTCAAAATGTTTGCGGTGACATTGGATGATGTTGTTTTTAATTTTTTTTTTTGGTGCTAAATTTGTACACAGTAGTTCATAACATATTTATTTATGGATTGCATCGATTTTCCGATTTCATAAAGCAGTTCGAAAGGGTAGGGTAGATTTATTAATTTCAATATAAAAGATAAAAAGTAGGAGATGATGAGAAACTAATAAATTAAGTGTCAAGCACATACAGACATAGACGTTTTATGTATGTTATTTGTGTTATGTGTGTGTTTATGTATGTTTGTAAACGCACCCACAACGCAGGAGAAAATTCTAAAGTGGGGCAGCGTTTTTTTTAAAGAAAAAATAAATAAAAAATATAAATACTCTTTAGCAGTTTCGAGTTTCACCACAGCTCAGTGAAAAAAGTTTATTTATCCTTTTTTACCAATTCCAGACACCGCAAATTGGTAATTGCGTTTCCCAAAGTTAAATAAGTCAGTTAGTTAAATAGCAAAAGATTTTAACTGAAACTTAGTCATTAATACCATTAAGTAAATAAAGAAGTTAGTTAAAAAGTAACTGAGAGGTTAACTTAACAAAGACCGGTTGTTTGCACATTAGAAGCCAAACACTAGAATCAAATAAAATGGTAGTTTCTATTTCAATTGAAACTTCATTTAGAAGTTCAGAATGTACGATAGCATTCTTTTGTTATCTTTTGAATTGCGATAAATCTTAAACTGAGGTTTTTCGTTCCTACTCTTTAGAAGTTGATTAAAAATTCTTTAAAGAGCATTCACGCCTCTTTTAAATTCTGAGACTTAAATAATGAACTCCACAATCATGGAATTGATTTCAATAAAACTTATCACTCATATGCAATGTAGCAAGTACATGTCCGAAATGTATGTATAAAAACTTCAAATTTCGTCTAAATTATTTATCGAAAATTTTCTTACATGATTTACTTTCTGGAATCTTAAATATACTAATACACAAAATATTATAAAGAGGTAAATTTGTAGGTTTGTATGTAGGGGGTAATCTTCAGAATTCTTTCACTGATAGATAGCTACAATTGTTCCTGAGTGCTATAGGCTATAAAACATCACGCAAATCTGTAGGAGACGAGCAGCGGGTAGCACGCCACGAGAGTAGCTAGTAAGATAAAAAATATGAGTGGGAGTACTTATGAGAATTTGGATTTGAAAGTTTTTATGGAATATCGTGTCATGTTAACGTTTTTTATACCAGGGGAGTTACGAGTGCTATGCCAACCTTTTGGGGATTTGCGATTTGGAGATTTAGGGATTGCGGAAGGGGAGGGATTCGGCCTCCAGTAACCTCACTTACACGGCGAAATAAGCCGGTTTTCTGGTTTAATTGCGTAAATATTTTACAATTAAAACACTTAAACAATCTCTCAAAGTTCTTGCATGTAATAGTAAATGGACAAACTAATACAATTTATCTCAAAAAAAAACTTTGAACATCGTTTGCCAATTCAATTCGGTGCGACCCAAACGCCCGTTACCACTTAAACTTATTCACCAATGCAGCGGCTGTCAAAGTTTTGCATAACATTTAATTTTGCACAGTATTTTCGTTTGGTTCAGAGATACTGACGCCGTCAACGTTTGCTTGCTATATTGAAAAACTAATGAAAAACTCTCCCGACCAACTCAACACTCTAGGCGTTATTGAAAAACTATTTTTATTTGAAGCGAGAGAAATTTATAGAAACTCTCAATGTCTCTTGGGTAGCGAAAATTTTTTATTTGCGTTTATTCTATGATGTTACTGTAAATGTTTTATCAAAAAAGCTCTCCAACCAATTGGGACGAAATTGTTTGAGAAGCGTTTTAAAAGTTTTGTCGTAAAAGAATACTTAATTTATGTTCGTAGAAAATTTGTTACCCGAAGAAAGATTTAGTCAACAGGATGTTTGTTACTTTTATACGCAAACGCTCAGAAATTTGCAGCGAAGATAATAAGTTGTAAATCCTAATAACACGAAACAGAACTATGAACGTTAACTAACATCTCAGAGATGTCTTTAGATGACCAGTGGAACGAACACCAATGTACATGTATATGTACATACTATATATATACGTAGAATATTATCAAAACGTCTTCATGTTTCCCTTATAAACTTCTCAAAGACGATGTAACCACAGTCTTGCAATGGAGATACAGCTTGTACATATATGCAAACAGTTGTACTTATAGTTCCTACTATAACATGTACATGACATAATTTAATGAATTTTAATCCCAAAATGTGTTGAGCAGAGGTTCAAAGTATAATTCAACATACATGTAGATGACGATGGAGGTACCTAATATTCTTATACCTCCTACACAAAGACGCCGCACTCTATGGTTTTGTCTTGTGTCGTAGGTGCGTTTACAGACATATTAAAAAAGCTTCTTCCCAAGAATTAATCACCACGCTTGCTCAAGGCGGGTTGGCGATTGCAATAACTTGTAATTACAAATTCACAAGTCTAGGTTTCCTCGTGTTCATTTACTGTTTGTCAATGGCGTTAAGATATATTTAGAAAGTACATGTAACTCGGAAAAGTCACATTGGTACTCGCAAGTTTTCGATCTCGCAACCTCATATATAAAAAGGGAGCACCTTTAACTTCGACCCACCACGATTTTTTTTTATAATCAGCTGTAACATCACTACCTACAGATAATAAATTAATGAAGTCGTTTCTCGGTCTGTATTTTATCCTATGTGTACCCTTAAATCTTTAAAACTACGTGACAGATTTTGGTTCGGTTTGCTTTAATAGATAGAGTGAATGAAGATGAATGTTTACATATTTGTTTAAAAACGTCCATTAAAAAGTAAAGAAATTTTGTATCAACACGCACCAGTGCAATGCAATGAAATATGATCTACTGTATCTAAAATTGACATAGCGCTTCACATAAATATTATAGTTGGTGCTTCTACCAAGTATCTTACACTTTTAACCAATCAAAACGCTCGAAGCTCTTACTATGCATGTACCGTGCCTATTCTTTTAGCATTTTATTTATTTTCCTCCTACAATTCTCACAAAGCGATGCACCAAGAGCACTTGAGATTTGTGAGCCCCTTCCGATAGAGAGCGCTCGATCTCTCAATCCTACACGGGAAATGACGTAGACTAGCGGAAAATACTTTAACTATGGCGGTCTAAAGTGCAATGGGTACTTACTGAATTGTTTCGTAAATTGCGAACATTCTTTGTTTGTTCATTATTCTATAATACTATTTCAATACTTCAATTGGCAAACTGAAGTGGCCGTAGGCACATCACATTTGTCGAAGGATCGATGACCGTTGGAGTGGACGTGTTCTAGAATAGAGACCAAGCGCCCTCCAGCTAGGTGGATTGACGATATCCGCAGGGTTGCTGGCAGTAGTTGGATGAGAATAGCTGAACATCGAGTTCAGTGGCGTGCAATTTGGACGGCCTTTGTCAAGCAGTGGACAAAATCAAGCTATTAATGATGATGATCTAAATATTTTATTTAGCGGTTTGCACGAGGTGTGTTTTTGATTTTTTAAAGTTTTTATTTGCTGTAATGAAAAACTAAGTTAATTCCTAATTGTTATCTAACTGATTACCTAAATCGGCTAAAAAGTTGCTCACATACAATTTCCATGAAATCACAGACACCGTAAACGTATATAGCAATGTTCAGCTATATAATTATATTCAAAATATTTTTTTATTTATCTTCGGTATGGCCTAGAAATCAAAGCCGCTTCTATTGCATAAGTGAGCGGGTTCACAACCTGGCCAATATGACGTTTTCCGAGGTACATGTACTTTCTAAGACTAATTAGACACCACAGATAAACGGCAAAGGACAACATCGCGAGGAAAACTGAACTTATAACAAGTTTGAAACAACCTATCCGCATTCAACTATCGTGGTGATCAGTGTTCAAAACATCTCTGTGTGAGAAGACGCCTTTGGGCAGTAGTGAGCCCTTAAGTGTGTTGTGACTATAATTTTTAAAGGTCTGTAGTTACGTCAATTTTGAGAAACTCCTCACGAATAAAAAGTGGATGTACCAAGTAGTACACCTATATTTGGTCCTTAAGGCAATAATAAACGTTATGTACATAGTTTCCATGAAATATGTACTTATTAAGTATCTACTTACCTGGTTAAGTAAATACGGCAGATACATAATACTGGTTTTTTTTGAATAAATCTATTTTGGAACCACTTTACCGATTCCATTAAAACCTAAGTGTTGTAAACCTCGAATTGAGAAATTGAAGACAGATTTGCTGGGATATTTTTTCCGTTGGCAACCAAAACTCAATTCGTCTACATCAGTCATTTGTCAAAGTGAGTTATTTCGCGCCTAAAGTTACAAATCCGGTGATATCTAGACATCTGTCCGATGGGGTTCGTTTGGGACGATAATGTTTTATTTGTAAGTTTCATTTCTTTTCTTTTCTTTTGTGTTTTTTCTATTCGATTTTAATTTGAAAGATTGCTACTGGAATTGTTATCTTGGGTAGGAAAAACCAAAGATTTTTGTACTAACGACACCGTACGCATGGATTTGGTTCTGTTCTGGTAGCGAGTTACCCTTACAACACCGCCAACGTATCTTGTCAAGTCTGAAATTAGCCGATTAGCTGCGCAGTACACAATTTTGTTCCTAAAAGATCCATTGCGCAGACAAACTGCTAACTTCAGACTCGCCACGGTACGTCGGCCGTACTGTACCTGCCGTCCGCAGACCCTTGCTTACGGTGGCACCTGGAAGGCCTGTTTACTTTGATTATGTTTAATTTGTAGTTTATGTAATGTGATGATGATGCTGGTATACCTGATATGTAATTAATTAAACTGTGCACATTTTTATGACAGAAAATTTTATAATGTTTTGCTGAATAGATATAAAAGCGATTTTTTCTCCGTACACGAGATTCTAGTTCTTGTTGAATAGTAAAAAAAAAACAACCAGAAAAACATCATTTGTTAATTGGTTTAAACTTACGTCTACCTCGAAGTTTACTAGGTGACATAATGCAGCAAAAAAGACTAATACGTATTTTTGATTTTCTGAGTAATTCACTGGAAAATAAAAGTCAATGGGAGCGTTTCGCTAGTTTTTCTTATATAAAACAGTGTCGTCTGTCTCAAATCCTATAGTGCCTTTGCCAATAAACCTTAACGCAATTCGAAGACATTTCAAAAGGTTTCTTTTATCAATGCTTTCAATAACAACAACTAATGGATTGGCTCTTGTGTGATGAAGGTAGACGAAATTTATTCTGACAGATACTTTGAATTTTATTGGGTTTTCAATCTTAATACAAATGGAATAGTAAATAGTTTAGTGTTGATTGCTTTGTTGGTTACTTGTGCTCTTTTTGATAGGATATTGACTGAAAGCTAGAAGGTATCAAACAATGAATTTATATGTTAATACATTATTTATTGCATATTTAAAATTATAATTATTACACAGACAAAATTTATCTTGTGTGATAAGACCGCCTATTGTACGCTCTATTATGTCTTGTGTCTATTATAATAGAATACTCTATACTTATAACTTAACAAGTTGTTATGTTCACCTTGAGGATTTGTTTCACACGTAGAATTAATTATAAATAAAGTAGCGACCCGCTCCGGCTTAACACAAATGGGATACTGGTACTAAATTCATCCAATATTTAATCGTCTTCAATCACTCGAATCAAGAAAACCGGGCTGGGGTATGATGTTTATGCGAAATTCTGGGTGCACTTATGAACGCAACCGCGACATAGGAGATATTGCTAATGTATGGCAACGCCTAATAGACATTGATAATCAGAAAAGCCAAGTCAAAAAAAGAAATATTTTCTCTACTCACGTTTTAACATCAAGCAAGGGGATTTGGAACACATGGTGAGTGTAACATTCTAAAGGAGCTACCTAGCTATCTCCCTCCTGAAATTAAAAGTCATGCTGCCAAGCTTATGCAGGTGAACATTGTACCGTTCACCAAAGTATATTTTTTCTAATTCCCATCCCATGTTTACACGTGAATAGCCCTTAAGAGACACATATAAACAGACTGAATGATTCCCAAGAGATGACCCCATGCAAGCAACATCGCTCCATCAGTAAAGCACGAATGTGAATTTGTTATTAAAATTTTAACAAAATTTATTTTCACTGTGACATGTAATGTCGTTTTGGGAATGGTGCATGCAGTGAAGGCAAAGTTTTCGGTTCATGTTTGTAGAGTTTGATTTATTTTGGTAACATTTTAGCCGTTTGAAATGGCGATAATGTGATGTAATTTTGAATTAAAAATTATATTATCTGTGGACAAAGTAATACAGTTATGTATTAGATGGTATTACTACCAGGTTTATTTCATTTAATTTCTATTTCATTTAAAAAAACAACGTGCCCCCATTCGGTTTTTCTCTGGCACAAGAGAAAGTGCGTTTACAAACATTCAATTTAACTTACTTATCACACACAGACCCGTAACAACAATTTATCTAGCACACAAACAGTTGTTCCGTACGGGTATCGAACCCGCAATAGGTTGCACGGCAACAACTAAATTAGCAGTTGAAAGCAAGGTTACGTTATTGCCTTTAAACCGATTTTTGTTTACTTTATTATGAACACACAAATAACTACCCCTATAGATACACCCTTAAAATTTGGGACTCCACCGTACCATGTCGAAACTTGTGCCAAGATAGCTGCGCTTGTGAGCGAAGCGTCGGCACGAATGAGCCAGCTCGAGCGCAGTGGAATGATATCTTGTCTGAAGCTATACTTGTTTCATGTAAGTTACGTTGCCAGAGGCCCAATCCTCCACTCCTCCTACACTCAAACCCCAAATACCTCAATCTTCACATGCCTTGAGGTTGGGTACGTTGCATTACCTAGGTACCTACCTTCAGCTTCAAGTCTTCTGGAGATTACAGACCAGCATATTATCAATCTCCTGGTTTGTCCACCTATCCCATAAAAAAGTCTAGCAGAGGTGTAACGAGCTTTTATTATTTTGTAACGTAACTTAAAAAACCTCTTAACATTCTAAACATTCATTGATTTGTAGACAAATTTAATATTATGATATCTACATATTGTTTTATTCTAACTTATTTCGTCAAATAAACTCTTGGAAAATAAAAATATCCTTTGTCTAACAACAGAGTTATTGCATCATTAAATTCTCGTAATCGTAAATTCTAATTAATGTCTTTGCTCGGAAACGTAATAAATAAGGTAAGTTTACACATGCGAACTCAATATCCGATAAAGCGTGGCGAACTGCTGAACGTATAAGCTTTAGCGTGACATCCTTAATCTGGCGTTCGTCTGTACTCTACCTTATATTAAAATGAATTCGCGAATTTTTATTGATTACAAGTTTTTTATAAAACAACTTTGATTAAAAATTTCGCGCACGCTCATACGACACATGAAAATGCGCTTTTCATGTGTCGTTTGAGTAACGTATTATTTCAATGACTTAAGTATACATGATATTAGGTCATTACTTAAATGTAAACAATAAAAAAAAATAAGTATTAGAAAACAAATTCTATTTGAAATAGCCCTCATCATTATCATCAATCTATAAGTTCTTACTGATAAACAAAGGCCTATTCTCACATGAAAATATGAGCATTGATCACCAACGCTTGCTCTAAGCAGACTAGTGCTTCCAAAAATATAGAAGAACGATATTTTCCTTTTGCCACGCGATATTTTCATTCGCCTTAAAAAAAACTTGATTGGTAATTAAGGAATAGTCACATACATGAACACCACGCAACCTAATTTAATTTTCTAGCGTGCAAAACAGTCACTAACATTACACATACGATTTTAATAAAATTCCTTCTGAAAAACAAGGGAGAGGAACAGCTGATGTCTGGTTTTTATACGGATTCTTAAGTCTTCATATTTCTTACAGACCGTGGCTACATACCGACAGCATTCCACTTAGACTTTCAAATATCTGAGTCACAATAATTCTGAAGAGCCATATCATCACTTTGGACTAAGTAGCCTCTCTCAACATTTTTAGGGTTACGTGTTAAAAAAGAAACATCTATAAAGTTTTATTTAATTGAGTACGATGTTTATATATATGTCAAATGATAAAATATATAGGTACATATAAATAGAAGGAACATACTATAGTTATGAATTGTCATGGCCTATTAATCTTTTCCGATTACCGTCTGGAGGCGAAAGTCTGAAAGACTGGCAAGACAAGATTTACTTCCGTAAATGTTAGTCGAGGAACTCGTCTAATTTCAAGTCACTTTAAGGGCCCATATTCATATGCGGTATTCTGCAAACTTCACGCAGCTAACTTTCAACTTAAGTGAGTAAGCCGCTCTCGTAATCATTTTTTCACGTATACTTTTCCATACTCCAATTTCACATTATAATTACGGAACAATAAGCCCTACATATACTAAATTTATAGATCAAAATCCAATTAACAAGTTTTCACACTGAGCGGAACCCTTTTTTGTTCGCGTTCCATCTCGCACGAGACCTTTTTTCCACATATTTTCGTACAAAAAAAGCTCATGCCAAGTGTTATGTGAACTGTTAGACGTGCCACAGAGTATATTAACGTAGCGAACGACTGGGACAGCTATAATTTAATGTTATTGTAGCAGATTTTATAGCACATTCTGTTTATTATTCTCCGAATGGGTAGACAATTCTGGGTTATGATAACTGAAAAACCCAAGAATGTTTTGGAAACATTGAACTTTTGGACTAAAGTAGGAAAGAACTTAGGAAAAGGGAGGATCCTCCAACCGAGTATTATGAACATACCAACGTACCTATTTATAGGGTTTTTTCCAACTAGTCAATATTGTATTATTTTTTTTCCCGAAATGTCAATGAACTAAAATAACAATGTATCGTAAAGTAAACGAAAACATTATAATATAGTTATATTCGTATTGATTTTATTCTATGATTGCTTTAAAGTAATAGCAAAACAAATCACTTGACGAAACATTTGACAACCGGTTAAATTGAATACCTAAAGCTGTAAGTAAACACGGATAAAACGACGATTTGTATGTTGATGAGATTTCGCACCGAATTCCCTCGGAAGTATTGCGATGGGGTCGTGTGACCAAATTTAGGGTAACGCTGTTCTTGTAAACAAACCTTCTTATTTGGCAGCCTATTTTTATAGCGATGATAGTACAATTTATGCTCAATATTTTTAAAATATTGAATGTGATACACGATTGAAATAGTGTCGAAAATTCGATTAATAAAGATTGTATCTTGGTCTGAATTTTGCATAAAAAATAGGTACGTGTAGGGCGATCATTTCTGAACCTGCCTAGTGTCTTTTAATGGAACTTTTTATGTTTAAAAAATTACATCTATATTTAATTTATTTTAAATTAACTTTATTTTTATCGACGTTACATATTGATAAAAAAATATAAATATATAATATGCTTTAATGTAAAAATTCAAATAGTTTGATTCAAATACCACCCACATTTTAACTCAAGTACCATCAGTTGACATTCCAACTCAAATCATTTTGAAAACATTGCCTCACAAAATATAAAACAGAAACTTAATCAGCCATGCTATTCCAAGCCTTAAATACACGAAACATACATATGTACTTCTAATAGCCTCTCAATACCTTTGCTTCAGGTATCTTCGACACGGACGGCGTGCACGTTCCGGGTACGGAATGCGACTTCCAATTCAGCCGGTCCGGGAGTCGTCCGACACACGGCCGGCTGTACAGTCCCCGGTACCCGTCTATCTACCCCAACAATGTGCGCTGTTCCTATCATTTCCACGCCAGGTAAGATCTCTTGAGGAATGGATTGTGGGAGGATTTTAATGATACGAATGAATGGTAGTTGAAAGTTGATTAGTCAATTGTTCGGCTGACTGTAAGTTTGACACTGTAGCCGAAAAATTAGACAATTAAAAAATATTATTAAAATTTAAATAAAAAAATAATAGATGATACCGGTATTTCCTATCGGACTGCTTTGAAAAGAAACAGGTAACCAAACTCGGAGGCCAGTCTCTTTTAAAGTCAATTTCAAAATTAATTAATATAATATTTCCTTTAAAGTTTGAAGTGCCTTAGAACGGCAGGTGTGTCTAATAAGTACACACACAAGTACACACGTCTGCTTTCCGTGCAAAATCAAATCAATCGATTTTATTTTCAGACCAAAGGAACGCGTGAAAATAGTGTTCGAAGAAGTTGCTCTTCAAAAAGGTGACATCAGGTTAGTTGCATTTAATTTACCTTGTATACGAATTTGTGATATTGTAGTGAAACTTAGTAACTCATCTAGGAAATAATTTAGTCAAGTTATGAAAATTATTGCGTAGGTAAATAAAATACGAGATAACACAGCCTCAGTATGATTCGCTGTGACCTCATCCCATTTTATAGTAGTCCAGGAAAAACAGAACTACTCGCTGTTTTCAGCCAAGAATGTTCCGTTTACGAAGAAAAAAGTTAATAGCATTTTTATGTAGTCGCATGTTCTTTGCCGAAATAAAAAGGAAGCCACAAACGGCGCGGTCCAGAAGAAGGAATTTACAGATTATTACCACCATAAAAAATATCTGCAACCCTATAAATTCGTCCACGAAAAAGCAAACACTTAACTAAATTAAGCTGAAATAAAAACACTGACGACAGAATCATAAAACACTCTCGCAGCTATAATTCTAAAGCTAAAAAATCCATCTATAAAAATAAAAATGCACGTAAAAGTAAAGTTATTCCATAAAGTCACCGTCAATATCCGAAGATCGGATGATAAAACTAGGGAGGTGCGCGTCATAATCGAATTTTCTGATCGAAAATATTGAATGTGATGACGGGCGTACAAGGTAAAACTAGCTCCGCCAGATGGCGGTGCAGTTTCAAGACATCTTGATATTCTTGTGACCTACGCTAATAGGAACTGCGGATATTTGAAACCTAAAGGTCTGGAAGCTTAGCGATATTCGTAGAAGCTCCGCGATGGTTAATCGATATAGAAATAATATAAGCAGTATAAACAAAAATAAAAAGCAAAATAAAAAAATATTTCTTGCGTTACAAATACGTATTCAAAAATAGGAAAAAACGTGAAATTATAATTGTTGTTTACAATTATATTATTGAATAATCAAACTGAAAACTTCTTCATGTTCAAGAACCCCTCCTTAGGCGAAGGTTAAGGCCTCCTCCAAATAATTCCATTCGTCTCTTTCCTATTATTGGGCTATTTGTGTCCAGCCCTGCTATTTTTATTATTTGGTCTACCTTTGAGATGTTTGCCGTAGGTATGGCAATACAGTAAAAATATTAAATTTTAAAAAGAATAATACCATTATTGGTAAAAAAAAATAAAAAAGAAAGACCTCGAAGCACTTTTTAGACGACTTTTTAACGAAAAATATACCATGAAACATTTATTTTTAAAGTTACTTTCTGATAAAGAAATAAAAATATATAAAGAGTTTGGTACAACACCGACAACAAACATTATTTTAGAAACAAATACACACAGAAACATGTAAACTAAGTAAAATATATCGCGGAATATTTTGTTGTGGGGTTGAAAGTAAATAAAATAGGAATATCCACAGAATATTGTGTTAACATACGAAGGTGTTAAATTATGCAGCGCTGACCGCCAAACGATTTCGGGCTACGGTTTTTGGCTTGCTTCGCTTTATTCCTGCATGCGGTAATTATTTTATGAGAGATTTAAACAAAATTGTTTTTTTATTTACAAAGAAAATTATTTTATATTGTTGTTGAAAAGATATGATCATTAAATTTTGATAGCGAAAGCAGTCTTCGAAAAATTTTGAATAATATTTGTAGTGTGAATGAAGCTGACACGAGAATGGACCAACTATAATTTAAAACGATTTTTTATCAGTTTTTCGCATTGTAACTATTTTAGTACCTAACTAACTAATCCGTCAATACCTAAACAGATTTTCTTTTCCTAAGCCTCTTACTTATAGAAATATACTAAAAAAAATAATGCACGGTCAATCAGTTTTCACCCGTGGCGGGTGAAAACGAAATATGGGTTTACCCACGAAATTCGTTTTTCGTTTTTACATAAGCAATGTTAAGTGTACTTACACTACACTTAATCACTTAATACAACAATTATTCACGTTGGTTAATATGGGTGCATTCTTTCTTTCCTTGCGCGTTTTCATTTTCGAAGTGCAATTCTTAAGCTCGGTCTACAGTTAAAGAATTATACTTCTCGCCCTGATAAACTAGAACCTTTGAAACTCCGATCTTTACGGCACCTTCCAAGGTTAGAGATGTAGACCTCTTCTACAGGGGAAATCTAGCAATTTACAGTTAGAAACTGTTAATGTTTTTCCATAAACCGGTTAACCCGAATAGTCCAGCCGTAACCAATCCCTAAAGCGGGTAGTAGAGTTGGCATAATTAAATTATGGTTTTAACGGTCGACTAGTGCTCACGTTAATGAGCCCGGCTCATAAACTATACGTACTTGTTTAATTAAGCGGATAATGCATGAATGGGCCGCTTTAGGTTGCTACGTCATACTAGCCTAGAGGTCTTTTGCATAATAGTTTCGGTCAAGTGGTGCTAAGAGAAATTAAGTAGCATGATTACATTTATAAGGTGTTCTGCATTTTGGCACTTACGTATTATTGTTTTAAAATGTATTTTGAGTTTAATCACGTTGGTTTATGGTTTATAATGAATCGAGGATGATAATTGCGGTTTATAAAATTAGTGTGTATACATTGAGTGTTTTATTGATATTAAATTTCGGGGTATGTTATTAAGAATTATATGACCAAAAGTTGACAATATTTTGTGCCATAAACAAGCATAAACATTATATAAACCTAAAATCAACTCACGATTATTATCACTGCTTCTAATTACATCGGTAAATATTCTTTTACTTGACTTATCAAATCAAATCGGACACAAAAAGTAAGTGTGGGATAGCCAGGCGCTAATTAACTGGCTCACGGCCTCACAGAAAACCGGCGTGAAACAAAGCTTCTACTGTGACGTTGCTGGAGGCCCATTTTTTGCTAATATCCTCAAAATTTCTAACGTGCCCTAATAGGCAGGGAACGAACTTGTAACTGGTGATGCAGGTACCATCATGTAATCCGTCTGCCATTAGCCAGCCTTTCCCATAACGTGCTAAAAATAAATAATACACATGTCTCATCATCATTTTCATCATCATCAAAGTCGTTCCCCATGGATTGGGGATCGTGACCATCATTAGTCTCTGTTAGCATTGAGGTTGGGCTGAGATAATTTCCTCCAGGCGCTCCTATTAGCTGCAGTGTGTAAACCTTCGTGAAGGCGAAGTTGCAGATGAGATTAGGTTTGGTCCCACACCTGATTATAAATACATGTTCAATACAATACCAACACCTCTAAACCAACTATAGTATGTACTATGTGAACTAATCCTTTGCCCTAATTCTGAAATGCTTACGTAATCTGTATATGAACCATGCCATGCGTCGTTACGTCAGTCACATAACACTACTGAATAATTATTGTTTACACCAAGATTAGGAACAGGCTTCTTCTGTGTAATTATTTGGTTTAACACATCTGTAGATTATGCATGATGAATTAAATCTAACTTAGAACTCAAATTCAATCCTGCTAATGTTTATTTTAGAATACCAAACCTCATAGACTAGCAAGCTTTTTGAATTTGGAATAAACCGTTTTTGTTACAAGTCAAGTAGAGGAACACTCCAACTCCAAAAAAAGAGGTACCAGTTTATGTCTGGCGTCTTTTCGTCCAATAGTGAATGAGCTAGTACAACACCATAAATGTTCAAATTTGGAAAGCGTGCAGTTATTAAATAAACTAACATCTTCATAGGTTTGTGACATATGGGTATAGTAGCCTCTATTGCCAAACCTCAAATACGATCAATATCATACAGTGTTATGAATAATTTAAATCAACAACAAAACAATTCTAAATCCCGTTGCGGACGAATCTCAAATCCTTTGCTAAGCCCCACTCGGCCGTCCAGACAGTTTTACTAGCTAAACATTTAGTTTTTTAATATTGTATAATATAAGTTCTATAAACCACAAAATCTTTCCCTATCACTATTCTTGTCGGGGTTGACGAGTACTAGCGCAATCTAACGTGGCCCGGCTTAAAGTAGGAGAAAACACAAGGTGGTATTAGATGATTTTGCCCAAAAAAAACTCCCACCTCTATAAACAAACTGTTTAAATTCACACACATTTTTCCAGCCTTGCCAATCAATACGGTGTAGCCATAAATAAATAATGTAAAACTGAATATTTTACAAGCTTGTACGCCCCGGGCGTTGACATCAACAACACGGAACACCTTGTAAAGGAATTTGCTCCAACTAATCCGTTTAAGGGCGAGACCGTAATAGATTTAGCGGCACACTAGTTTAAAGAAAATTTTACTCGTTCATAAATATGTTAACATGCAAATAATGTATAGAAAACTTGATGGTCGTAAATTGACAAACCAAAATTATTACGGTTTCTAAAGGAATTAATGTATCAAAAACAATTCAGAATTGAAAAACCATATTAGAAACCCCAAAAAAATTTTGAAGACTTGCCATTTCTAAAATAAGGAACCTTTTAATGTCGGGTGAAACTCTTTGGGCCTCTGGTAGCCCTACCCACACGGCAAAACACAAAGCTGTGGTAATTTCACGCCCGTTCTCAGTGAGGCCGAGGTATCACTCCGGTCGAGCCGACGCATTTGTGCTAAAAACTTTTAAATTAGCTTACAAATAAACTACACTTAACACGTTAATATTAAAACTAGTAATTTAACAGTACATTGGTCAAGCTGTCGGTTGCATTTTACAATAAATTATGTGCGGTTTCACAAAACAGTTTCGACCCAATTCCGTTGACGGAAAACGTTACAAACCATTCTACGTTTCCAAATTGTATATTCCTATTTACAGCATGAACAGTCCTTAACATAACTTCACTTAACTCGGAACATTCCTGTGAAGGAATTCCGCAGGTCCGGTCAGTGGATCTTCACTAACTGAATTACTTGTATAGTAATAGGTACTTCATAGTTTCAATTGTATTATTGAAGTTTTGTCAATTATCTATTGTACGGCTGATTTTAAAACTGACACTATTCTTTTAAGCAGTACTGAGAACACCTACATCTTATTTTAGTGTCATTATACTTGTAGTTACTTATAATTGTAAGACTATAAAGTCTGTACACAAAAATGTCCCTTGCGTATTCTTTTTAAATTACTAAAAGAATCTACAAAACTAAGACTCACACACAAAACAAGCATAGAAACAAAATTCTTTTCCACAAATTTATTTTTATCTAACATTCACAAAAATGCAACTTAAAACTTTAATTAAAAGATAGAACGGAAGATTTATTCGTTTTACAAAACGAAATTTAAAATAAAGTCCTTACCCTACTTACTGGAACTCACTTAAAAGTCCTCAAGCAGGTACATGTTAGCAAAGTGCATTAAAGGTATAATTACGTTGGAGTTTCTGAGTTTGTCAACATTACATTATGGTAATGAAGAGACCTTGCACTGTACACAAAGTTACGTATTTAATTATTCCAAGAGGATGAGGACAGAGTATATAGAGTCCATTCAATCAAGAGTAGGAGAATCATGTTTGGTCACGATTGGGCCGGCTCGACCGGAGTTATACTACGGTCTCACATAAAACCGGCGTGAAACAACCACAGCGTTGTGTTTTGTCGTATGAACGAGGTTACCGGAGGCCCAATCCTTCCCGACCCTATCCCTCCTCAATCCCTAAGTCTCCGAAACCCTAATCACCAAAAGGCCGACAACGCACTCGTAACTCCTCTGGTACGTGGGCGGTGCCGTTTGCTTACCATCAGCTTCTGCTCGTTTACCGCAATATGACATAAAAATAAATAAAACAAAAGGTCACTTGTAAAAAAAAGTATGCATTCTAAGCGCACGTATTTCTATCGTAGCGTAGGTATTATTAAAAATATATTTATTTTGCTGATACGTGTTTGCGCTTCACAATCAAGCTGATAATAGTATCATCGCAAAATATAGTACAATTCTTATATCAAATTCAATCCCATATTTTTGTCATACTTTGTGTGAATCTCTTCCGTCTCTCGGTTATTATATTGGGGAGGTTTTTGAACGGTTTCCAAGTTACATTCAAGCTTTTGTGTAACTATATAATATATTATATGAACACACATATACCTATATATTAGTAGGCCCTGAAACAATAGAAATACGCAAATGTGTATTTCTACTGATAATAGAGTAAATACTCTATTTTATAAACACAGCAACCGAATTTTTATTTTATTTGTAGGACGAGATTTACTTTATTAGCGGTTCTGCTAATGAGAGATAATTTATATTATCATCATATTGCAATTTATCTAAAACGTTGAGTTTGCATGACCTTAAATGCTTAGTAGTATAAATTTACTCTAAATCTAAAAAAAATAAGTGTACTAAAATACATCCGGGAGCTATTAAGCCAGCTGATAAAAACTTATGTATAAAAAAGTGTTATTAGTAAAATATCATCATCATCATCATCAGCCTATAAGTGTCCACTGCTGAGCAAATGCCTCTTCCCACGCGGAGAAGGATTGGGTAGTAATCACCAGGCTTGCTCAATGCGGGTTGGCGATTTTAAACTAATAATTAGAAATTATTAGTTTGAAATCGCAATGAAAATATATCAACAAAAAATAATTTTTCTATGAAATAAGCCACTCATAATATCACAATACAACAAACTTTTTCGATTTTTCTGTTTTCAACATAATATAACCAACTCTCCATTCTCCCATCAACTGTTTGCCAATAAAGGAGACACGACAATTTGCCGTAACGAGAGAGCGACCCATAAAACGTATGACGCTGTATAGTACAACATCATCTATGTCAGAACCAGAAGCCGGGAATATATTGCTAGAGGCTTTCAATTTCACACGGAAACTTGCCCATGGAAAAAAATTGTTCAACGGCTGATTTATTTTTAACCTGGGATAGTACTTTCCTAATATAAATAAGTTTATATTGTGATGAAAACATCGTTGTTGGTCGAGTATTTAGAAGTATGACGGCAAAACATGGCGTTTCTGGGTTCCAAGTCGTATGGAGCTCACAGTGTTATTTTTGTTTTGTTTTGGTTACACCTTAGTAACCAAATGATCTCCGATGATCCGATGATCTCCGGCCACCGTAAGCGCGGGTCTGCGGTCGGCGAGTAAGGGCAGCTCGCTGCCCGACCAGAACCAGGCCCGAGCGTACGGCGCCTAGCGTTCCGCGCGCGCCTCAAAGTGCCAATAGACCACCACAGACGGGGGCCTATAGGGCTGATGTTCAGCCGGGGTTGCGGGGTAAGTGCAATGAGGCACCGCGGCCTCGGCCCAGAGCAGGAGAAGAAACAGGGGGGTTTTTAGTCAGTAAGAGTCTGACACTCCCTCCCGCCCGGCCCTGGGCGGGAGAAGTCATTTCATGATTTTCCCCTCACAAAAAAAACCTTAGTACGTTCTTTGTGCATATGACGTTTTAGAGTAAAAGAGCATCTATTAGAACCCAGAAATAAATGGCAATTTTTTTATGATGGCTAACGAGCAGATGGGTTGACCTGATGGTAAGCAATCACCGCTGCCCATGAACACCCGCAATATCAAAAGAGTTGTTGTCGAGTGCGTTGCCGGCCTTTTAGGGATAAAGGTTTAGGATATTTAAAGCTTGGGAAGGGATTGGGCCCCCGAATTTTATACGGAAAGGATCATTTAATGGATGATTTATTTTAACCTATAGGAATACCTCGCTGGTCAAATGGTCGCAGTTGTTCTTGAGTTCCAAGTTCCGCGTTTCGTGCTGATTGGATGACAGGATCGGTGACAGCAAAGTTGAATACATTAATTATTAGTCCTACTCGGAATAGTAAGTCCGATAAAAAAAAGCTTAGTAAACGTTATTGATCTTGTACCGTAACTTGTACAAGGCTTTGACAAGTAAGATATCTTCCACAAATATCATAAGATTGAACTAATTTAGATCTTTACCTACTACCTTAACTATACCCTTCCTTCAGACTACACATAGATGGAAACCAGACGAAAACGTTTTCTAAAAACCCTGAGGGCCTAGACAAGTGGCACAAACGCTAGTAGAATAGAATGGTTTATGAATGAATTGACGTCATGAAATTTGATCTATCGTTTCGAACGTGTAATTGGTAGCCAAGTGTATCACGATTCTATTCCATTAAACGAAACGACAATGTAATACGATATTCTCCATACAAATGCGTAGCCGAGTGGCACATTTGACAAGCGAATTCGACTGTAAACGTTTCTAATGTACGCTTACGAAGCGAACGCTAGGACCCTGTAGAAAACGCTACGATACACTACCCAAGATGGCGATTATTTAAACAGCTGTTAGATACCGGTAGTTGTTTTTGTAAACAATTTCGTTTAAATTAATAAAATTTGTACAAATGCACGCACTTATATTATTGTGGGCGGTGTCCAAGCCGTACGTACGGCTTGGGCGTCATTGAAGAAATAAATTTCGTCATTTCTTAATGCAAATTAGTGAAATACCGGTGTATATGTCGCAGTAAGATAGATGTAGCCATAATATAGTTATATCCCTAGGGATATAATTATATATTGGAACATAGTTATACGAAAGCGATTATCTCACTAGGGATATAGTTATAAAATGGACCAAGTTTAGTGATATACTTATATTACTAGATTAAGTGTAATGAAATAGCTTTATAATAGTTGTTCGGTGTTCACTTCTAGTTTTCGTGCATGTGCATTTAATTGCTACGCTTGCTTAGAATTTGTATTCGTTTTATAATTGGTAATTACTTGCGCCAGCCATGAATTAAGATGAAGAAATGAATGCAGGTGGCGTGCGCCAAGGGAACGTCAGCCTTGCCCTTCAGGACATTGCCAAGTATCGGAAGAATGCTGGGACCATAACCTTGGGGGCTCCCCTAGTTGTACTCAGCACTTAACCCGTTCTCTCCACAGCTTCGCCGACCGCCTAACCGCGAACCGGCGCATAGGAACCCGTTGCACATTAAGATTGGTAGCGGAATTACTAGCTTAGGGAACACCAATAGATACTCACCTCCCTCCTCTCCTCGGCACACACCTCCAAATTCACCTCTTTGAAGGGTTAGAATTATAGAACCCCTTAGGCCAAAAGGCACCTAACCACCAATTTTGTTCGGGTTTCTTCTTCTTGGTGATAGGTGCTAGGAAGATACCCTAGGAGGGAATATTTTGGCACCTGCCTGCTGGAGGAAGCATGCATCCGTGGCATCTCAAGCAAAGTTATTGTTGTGTTGTAGGAACGTAGGCCCTCTTCATCATGGCCCTTCAGGCCCTGCTTCTTCGCCTTGTTAAAAGGCTGAACAATAGTTCAACACTCCAAGCTAAAGTTGAACCTCAGCTTGAGAAATTTGTTCTAGACCTGATTCCGAGACCTGAATCCCCGGAATAAACTTCAGCCTCCCCGGCTCTGCCCTAAACATCAGCCTCTATGGCCCCTCGCTCCGCAACCACACGAAAGGCCTCCCAACACCGCCATAAACGCAACCAACCCCTTTCACGCCGCGCGCCGTGGGGGAGGCGCACACTCCGAAAGCTATTTCACTAAACTTAATCTAGTAATATAAGTATATCACTAAACTTGGTCCGTTTTATAACTATATCCCTAGTGAGATAGTAATGAATCGCTTCCGTATAACTATGTTCCAGTATATAATTATATCCCTAAGGATATAACTATATTACGGCTACATCTATCTTACTGCGACATATACATATAGATTCCATAATTTCATTAAAATATATGTAATATCCCTTAACGAATCAAGATATTTCAAGAATAAGACAAGAGTAAGTAATAATCAGTACAAATATATTGTTATCATATTAGTATGTATTAAAAAATAAATCAGCAGTATTTTAGTGTTTGATGTACCTGACTTGAACTATGGTTGGTTTTAGATTCCGAAGAAGATTTAATTTACCGGTTGTTGTATGATGTATTGACTGCACTCACGTAGCTATAATGAAACCAAGTAAAGGTGAGCCCCTTTTTTAATAGAAAAGGCTTTCACTCATTGAATCTACAAATATAATTTTTCATTTTTCATTTTATTCTATTACATATCTATATACATTTATCATCTATACATTTCATTCTATTTAAAGGAAGTCTTCGGCTAATAGGGAAGGCTTCGGCTTATAACTATTATACAAAAGTTAATCAACATATTTTTTCAGGCTTGTGACCACAATTTAAAAATATTAAATATGAATTGAAAATAGGGTGGGGCCACACACGACTCTTTTTAAAATGGTCATCCAGTCATGTGGAAGCGATTCATTCATGCGGGAACTACATATTACATCATAATGGTAAACAAACATGACGACTATTATTTATTTTATTATAATCCTTTGGTACATAGCTTAAGACAACTACATTGTACTCTTAAATTATTTTGATTTAAACTCCATGTTTGTAATAACTAAGGTTCCAACATTTCTTTTATCATTAAGGGTGAAATCAAAAAAATCTGTTTCAATAAAACTTTTTTATTTTTGGTTACTTTTTCTGAACATAATTACTTTGTTTTCAAACTTAAAATTAGCATTCACATCATCTTTCGTATGACAGTCACATTTGGTTTCGTCATCATGTCGTTAAGGTTGTGCCAGGATTAATTTTATATACGTCTAGAAAGAAAGTAAATTTCAAAATCAAAAAGATAATGTACAATAGCCTATCTAATTACCAATAAAATTGCATGCAAAGCCTTCAAAGGTTTTGTAATTTCACTATATTTTCCCGTGTATATTTACCACATTTTATTACCTTATCAAAACATAAAATAAAAATTTTTTGATTGCTAGAAATGCACTAAAACTCTCAACACAACAACTCTCGTTCATGAAGGAACCTGTTACGCCTCTCCTCGAATTCACGTCGGCGGAGCTCGACTTTTACAAATTCATTTGTCGTTCTTTCGAATGGCTTTAATCCTCCTGTTCCTACGCGCCCACAATTAAGAACGAAGATTTGGTGTTGTAGCTGCCGAACGCGGAGAGGCTGACGCCTGCAGTCTAGGCTTCTTGCCGGACAATATCGCGGCGAAGAAGGAAGGAGAGAGGTGGACTAGGATGGTGGCGTAGCTGTCTCTCGAGCCGGTGCCAAAGTTGTACTTGGTCGGCTAACTGCCTATATCAGCTGAAAATAATATTTTATTATCATTACTTTTTTATATTCAATGAAATTAATCTTTCAGTTGCTTAAAGACAGAATTGCTTTCATAATATTTATGGAATATTGATATGGTTAGAAACAAATAAAATTATTACAATCAACTTACTGGACTTTCTCTCTCCTTCTATGGTATTATTACATATGGTAGGTATTTCACTAGTGCTGCCTCCTGCCTGGACCAAGTGCAAGTCATTTGATGGTCTGAAATAAAATCATTTGTTATTATTTATATCTTAGAATTTTGCTTTATGTTTACTATATGACTACCATTTTTCATCATATGGAACATAGTTTAATCAATATATAATAAATATCTATTCAAATTGATGACCTGATCCTGACAAGTTTTACAATATTGGATACAAAAGATACAGTGTGGTCCCAGTTTATTAAATACTTACATTGAATCCAGCAGATGCCAGCTTGGCCTGCCACAGCAGACACTCCAAAAACTGCAACCAGTCTATCTTCTAATGCAGTTAAAGAGACCCTGCTGCTAGGCCCACCACCACCAGAATTTTGCCTTATTTAAAAATATTTGGTTTTAGTTTTTGTCTTCCAGTCTGCCTACACCTAAAAATCACAATTAATAAAAAGCACTGTGTTAAATTATACTATCCAAATATTTTAGATTCATAAAAAATAAATATAAATAAATATTTAATTTACTGAGGTCGTCATTATCGAAATCGCTAAGGACTCTGATATTATTTTTAATTCATGCCATTTTCTAGTTATCTGCGGATTTTCGAAATTCTTCTACCACCATAAGAATTTAACATACTCGATAAATCCTGCCACAGCTGATATCCCTTTAACTGACCTTTGACCAGTCGTCTAGGGTTTCGACATATCGCCGCGCTCATAAAATAAACAAACTGCCTAAGTGGAATATTCCTTTGTTGATTGTGCAGATTGACCACGACATTGTTGATATTAAGTTTAATCTGAGTGAAGATATTGAAATATTGATACGATTTTACGAATGAACTTTCCATAAAATCTATAAGTATTAAGAATTGTTCTGGACTAGCTCGAAACATCGGTTCCATGTAAAAATTATAGTATTCCTAGTAACTATTTCAACAAGAATATTAAACACACAAACATGCCGAAAATATAAACATAACTAAAGTAATTTAATTTAGATTATCACATCATACTTATTTACAGTACTCACCGTCTTAAAATCGCTATTCCATGTATAATTTCACTTAAAAATTCATGAATTCATCACTTCACAACTTAAAAATATTCTAGTTTTGCGGCGACCCATTGTCAAACTGACATTAGCGTACGACAAACCATAAAGAACAATTGATGTTTTTTGTAACATACGAATAGAATGAGCGTTCGACAAGTGGTTGTACACTTGGCTACCAATCGAAAAACGCTAACGCCCAAGCGTTCATTTTCAGTAGAATAGAAACGACTCCGAGCGTTTGCCACTTGTCTAGGCCCTCTGAACTCGTTAGTATGTGATGTTTGAACTGCCTGCCAACCGTCTAACATAGTGTCATGAAAAAACCAAATGCTAATTGGAATCGCACTCGACGAATATTAAAATCATGTTTTTTTTATATGGGAGACCCTAAAAATATGATATAGTCGGATGATAGACTGATAGACAGCTAGATGAATAGGTAGCGGACCGTTAAACAGATATATAACCTTTTTGGATAGTTATACTTTGAAAATCACCAAAAATCCTCATAAAGTTCTAACACTGCACTTCTGTGGTTATGGTTTGAACGTCACATGGTCACACGCATACCATTTAAACCATAAATGTCGTGTTAATTATGCCGTTGTGAGGTAAACACCCATACACCACCAGCCCACTACGGTAACCGCA